CATTTTTTTATATCGCTTGTCCTCATTGGTGTAACTCAGATGACTTTGGGAGGGAGGCGGGGGGGGGGGGCACCCTGGACTGGTCGCCACTTAATGGCAGGGCCCATAGAAATAGAAAAACAACCGTTCAAACCTATGGAACATTTGGAGTCTTCAGTAAAGCTAACATGTAAGTTTTTGGAAATGTGGTGTCAAAATGTCATGAAATGTATGAAAGCAACGTCAAGCCTGAAGTGGCAGAAACGTCTTTAACACGGCTGGCCCTTCTAATCCAATTTCATCCGTCTCACTCTTGATTTGTCTGTTTGGGAACATCAAGACACAAAGGGCATGATTTAAGAGGCGGCGGGGGCTGGAATTAAAATTCTCTTTGCTGTAATTAGACTTATTTTGTGGTGTAATAGTCGGGAAATAGTCGGCGGTGTTGTGAGAGTGTGATGTTTGATTGGAAGCTTTTATGTCGAGCGCTGGTTGTACTTTGTGGTCACGACTGACTCAGCCGTGGTCCTCATATAATTGAAGCCGGGCTTCTATAAATGTCAATCTTATGGGCAAATAACTCTTAATTGCTCAATGCTGAGAGGGGGGGAAAAACAGAGTTTAGATAAGAGCCCCTGTGGAAAGCAAACAAAAGATTCTAATTGCCATTAGGGCATTGTGATTGTGCAGAAACACTCTATTAGTATTCAAACGCAGTGGGAGAAAAGAAACTTGGAGATGGCATACTAAGTACTGCTCAGTGTGTGTGTGTGTGTGTGTGTGTGTGTGTGTGTGTGTGTGTGTGTGTGTACGCGTGAGCGTCTATCTGTTTGTGTACACTCCCAAAAATGGGAGAAGATTTCCTTTGTGGCATTATGTAGACATCCATGACCAATTAATCTGCCTTACATCCAGCCTCCACTCACAGATGGATGCTTTATTAGAGACATTTTCTAATCAAGAAGCAGCACCTGCTAAAAAAATCCAGTTTGACTATTTCAAATCTTTTCTGTTTGCGAAGAAAACTGGCATATTTTTTGCTTTAGGAGGATGTGACATTTACTTGAAATGAACGTGGCTGTCATATTGCATTTTTTACTCAACAGTTGGTGGGGCGGGGGATGGGGGATGCATTTATTTGTACAGGCGTATGTTTGGAACAAAAATATCGAGCAGTCCACTACATTTCATGTCGATTGGAGTTTAAAACTACTTCAATAAAAATATAACGTGAGTCGCTGTCCAGTCGTTAGAGAAGAGAGATTGCGCGGAGTGCAGTTGAGGTCTTCTGACTAACATGGCAGCTGATGGTGACTAACCTACACTTGTTTACAGTCGGTGTTCAAAAATAACCCGGGATGATGAGCCACATGCTGCTTCTTGCAGCCACTTCTGATATATTCCATTACATTCTTTTTCGAATGTCTTCCTTTTTTTTTTCTATATTCTTGAACCAACCACTGGAAAATACCAAGAGTTGTATTTCTAGTTCATTCCGAGCAAGGAAGAAGAGAGCTTGTATAAAGTCTTCAGACGATTAATACGGGAGCGGCCGTCCGGCTTATATTCAACATTGGCAGGCATGCAGTCGTTACTTACTTGCAACAGAGCGTAAAGGAATATTTTTGGGGTTAGGAACCACATGCTGTTTCACCAAGATGAGCCCATGCTCTGATCTTATGTGGCAGCCTGTTCTGGTAAATTTCCGTGCCGCTATCTGTCTGTCATCATGGCGTGGTTTTCTATCCAACTGAACAATGGGAAAGACCAAGAGTTGAAGTTCTTGGTTCGAAAAAGGAGAGATTGTGCTCAGCCGACACGTGCTACTATTGCTCTGCTGTGCATTATCTGACCACAAGCAGCAACCTGTTCTGCTAAATTTCGATAACAGACGATCGGTAGAGCTTCTGCTACGGTATAAGAGGCTAGTCATGCTTACATAGAAGCGCACTGCATAGCAGGTCGTGGAGTCTGACGGAAAACTCCGACAGAAGTCAAAAGCGCATGTGGACCACACCCAAGACAGACAGAAAGAGGAAAAAAGATGTTACATGTCACCAGGATCAATGGCGACCATTGTCTACCCCCTCCCCCCGGTCCCCCGACCCCGCCAGCCCCCACCCCGTCTGGTGGAGGTATAACACCTTTCCGTGCACTTAAGCCGCGACCACTGCAGTGCGCTAAGGGAGCGCATGGGTATGGATTGCCTTCTGTCCCAGATGCAATCGGCGCTATCGATCGCACTAATGCTGGACTGCGGAGGAAGGCGAGAGGCGGCGTGGGGGGAGGGAGAGAAAGAAAGAGGGGGAGAAGGAGAGCGAGTGCTGCAGGAATGCGTCCCCCGGGAGCCTCCGCCGGGCCGGGGCAGGGCTTCAGGAATGCTCCCCCGGAGATCCCGAGTGAAGGCTATGGGCATGGCTGCAAGAATGCTTCTCTGGAGAGTTGAGGCCGGCCGGGGTAGGACTACAGGAATGTCACCCCCCCTCGCCCTCCCTCCAACCAGAGCACCCCTTCAACTGCA